CGCCAGTGGGTCGCAGTTGGCCGCATCATTTCAAGTTAAAGTCAAAGCACAAGCAAGTGCCGAAGTTAAACTTCATTGAAACTTTTCGAAAAAAAGGTTCCCATATGGTGCGCACTTCAATGGTGACACTGTATAATTCTAAGAAAGAAATATTTTTATCAAATAGGTGAATCTCTCCACACACTTTTATATCATATAAATTGTGTGAAGTAACAAATTATTAATGAAAAATTTGTTGCGAAAACGCAACACGTGTTTCATCAGATTGATGGATTTGATTTGAAATGAAGTTTATTTCTCTCTTTTTAGAGCATGTAAATGAGAGCTTGTTTTTTAAAAATGTCTCAGTACTCATAATTTATTTCAATACTTTCTCCTTGTAAATGAGTAAAATTCTACGTTTTTAACAGAAAGTGTTTTTCAGGCGAACCGATTTTCAAGTGCAAATTGATTAAACAAAACAAGAAATGAAATCGATTGGCTGTTTGATTGCCTTTCTCCCAATCGTTAGAGCGTTAATTGGTAAGGGTGTGAACAGTGCCAATTCTATTTTCGGCCATTCTAGCTTTGGCGTTGTAGTGTTTTACGTGATTCCCTTAAAATTACGATAACACTTGAAATCCATCCAGCTTCGTGCGTTCAGAGTTCCGGGCATCGCACGAATTTAATTCAAATATTTTATCGGCTCGTTTTTCACTGAAATTGGTAAACCAGGACAGAATACTAAAGAAGCTAACTTTTTTTTCTTAATTGCCTGTTATATTAGACAGTCCGAACTCGTCGAGAAACTTATTTCCGTGAAATGTTCTCCAAATATACAGATCAAAAGTAACCTTTGCACTCCGCTGCATTATGCTCACTTTTAAATCGTTCCGAAATCAGTATTCCTTTCAAGAAATCATTTCTTCCTACAAATTCTAATGATTCAGGAGTTTATACAGTGAGGAGAATGAATAGTAATAATAGTTAATGTCGTGAATGTCGATAATTCGATAAAAAAGTCTGTGACTTGGTATGGAATCTTGTATACCATTATAAGGAAAGTAGCTTTCTGAATGATACGGTTAGAGCTATATTGATTATTTCTGTACTATCCACTTCACAATTGATTTATGATTAGGTTTTTATTGTAAAATAATAATAGGTGTTTCAGTAAGTCTGGAGGGAAATAATCTGAATTGCTTGAACAAACAAGTTGTTTGAACATTTGATTGGTTTTGCTTGAAAAGTATTATAATATTTGAAAATTTCATTTTTCAATGAAAATTCAGGAGATGAAGAGATATTATTGAAAGTAATAACTTTCTCAGTGTATTCCAATTGAGGTATCAAATTTTGTAAAATTTTGTTTCCCTTATTTATCTTGTTCGATTGATCACCTATTTATTTTGTAGAAATTCATACTGAATATAGGATAAAGAAAATATATTTTGTCTGATTTCTAATACGAATATATTTTCTATCCTTTATTTATGTTCTCCAATATAGTTGTATAGAGACTATTATCTATTTTTTTGCTTCTTTGTAAATTTTTGTTGTTTCGTTTGTTATTTAATCAATTTGAATTATTGTTGTTCAAAAACGCGTTTTTTAACAAATTGTATTCCCCTCCCCAGGTAATCATTTTATGAAGAGAAGGATGTTATCAATATTGTACAGTAATTTGAAAATGGACTTTTTGTCAATTTTCTGTTACAATGACACATCCCCTGCCTTACAACAGTTGCAATTAAAAACTGTATACATTCATGTAACATCAGTCTTTTATATATAATATGAAGGGATAATAATAGACCGGTGTGTTTGCTCCACTCACTCAATTTTGTGACCAGTGGTTCACACAGCAGTTCACATAGCGGATTTTCACTTCCTATCATCCAGCCCTTGTTGGAAATCGCACGTCAAAAGGCAGGACCTCGCTAATTCTTAGCTCGCACAAGTTTCTACTGTTGAGAGTTGTTGTTCATAGTGCGGCGGCAGCTGGTTAAAGGGAAACATATTTTAACAAACAAACAGACAGACAGATAACAGATAATCATCTAGAATAAAATTTTCATTTCGAATACGTTGCTAAAAAATTGCTGAAAATAGCACATTCATACTTCCTAGTTCAAAATTGGATATTTCCGAGTTCATTATTTTATGGTATAAAAACTATTTGGTGAAATAGCTGATATTAACTCAAAATTGCTACGGCGATTTTTGGGTGTTCATTTATAGTATTTTCAGAAATACACCAAATTAAAAGTTTCGCTAGAGTTTATGAACACAACAGGGTGCAAAGTCTCTCAAGTTTCAACAACAAATACATAATATTCAAATTGATATTTTTAGTTTTTGGAAAAATCGCTTCTTGGCTTTCACGTTTCCATTGTTACACAAAAAGTTGTGGGAAGAAAAACCAATTAATTTCAAAATAAACTCTTCACAATGATGTGTAGATCATGCAAAGAAGTAAATTTCAGATACAAACTGGAAGAAAACCCTCTCGAAACAAATACCTTCATTTGAACATTCAATTATACAAAAAACACTTTTTTTTCTATTCAATTTGTACTCTAAACGAGTCTCATTCCGAATCTTCGAAGTCCGCCAATGAGGATCAGTGTTCCATGTAAGTGAAATTTCATATAGTTTCGTATGCTGTATTGTGTAGCGTTCCCATGAATGATATCTAATTCAATTCCATAACGGATGTTTAGAGTACAAACTGAACAGGAAAAAGTGATTTTCGTAAAATTCAATGTTCATCTGAAAGTAATTTTTTCGAAAGTACTTTTTCTCTCGTATAAAAAAGTAGTTGTTTCGGAAAGGCATTTTCTTTCAGTTTGTATCTAAAAGTAGCTTCTATGCTTGATTTGCACATCTTTGTGAAGAGTTTATTTAGAACTTGATTGTTTATGCCTTCCTTTGGAAGTTTATCATATTTTTTTTTGTAGAAAAATGGAGAAGTGAAAGCGAAAACTATTTCACATTAACAATATTCATTTCAGTATTTATGTTCATTTATCGGTATTTAAAAAGGTAACTTTTCAATTTGTAATATTTCCACCTTTGAACCTATATATTTCAAAATCCAAAATTATATGTACAAATTATCGAATGAGTGAGTATTTCTACCTTTGTTTGCAAATGGACTCATAATAATTTACTTTAATCTCTGTTGAGATTAAAGTACGTGTCAGTTTTTCCATTGAAATTCAAAATGTCAATTCGGTAAATTTCTGAAAACCCCATACCAATATGTAGTATTCTCTATTTTATGCAGACTGTTTACGTGTGTATTTTTAATGTTGAGTATGAATTAAGCAATCGTATTTAATCTGATTTTGCTCAAGATTTATATTATATAAGGTTTAAAACATGAGGTTACATTATTTGCTCGGGATCCATAAAAAAGAATCTGTTTTTCGGTGATTTATCATCTAGAAATACCTCAATCTCTCATTCTAGTAGCATAACCACTTTGATTTTGATGTCGATGTTAATAACACCAGGTCCATGATGGAGCTCCATATAAGTAATGGGATTATCAGATACATCTCGAGCATGTTTGTTGAATGGGCGAAAGCTGACGGATTTACTAACTCATCCACATTAATGGCGTTCCTATTAGCAATCTAATAAAGTTGTGCACATCGATATCTTCACCACGTCCTATTTGAATTTGATACTGTCATTAAATTAGCCCCTGTTATTGGCAGTGTTTTCGAAAATCGTGAATATGTCGCCAGTTTGTAGAAAGCACTAGTCTCGAGAGATATTGATAATTGAATTCAAGGAAGAAATACTATGATGGGAGACTGAGGAAAACCCATTTGCAGCTTAACAAACTTTTGTTCTCGAGTGTTTCTGTGTTCCGAGAAAAATCTTCTGGTTTCTATAGTAATGACAATTTAACGGGTGACTTGAATGATGAGACATGTTCAAACAAGTGTTCAAAAATTCTCCTCTCGATCTCCCAGATTCATTTGAAGCGGACAAGATGAGCAATACAAAAATTCAAGTATGTTTTTATGTTTTCTGCTAAAATTAATTTCTCATTGAGAATCCATCATTAAATATGTCTGAAATTCTCAGATTTGGCGCAAATACAAACGTGTTTTTCAATTGGGTGAAGACAATTCAAATAAAATATCTGGTCTCAGTTTCAGAGAGCAATTTTGGATATAACACAACGCACGGTGTTTTGGAAATTCTCGATTTGTCTTGAAAGTTGAATTGCTATCAAGTTTTCAGCCCCAAAATTCAAGATCTTTCAGTCTCATTTATAAATGGTATTTTTCTAACAATTACATAGTATTTCAGAACTATCACACTTCAAAACAGGTATTTAGCAGTAGAAAGTGTCGATGCCGAAATTTATATGGACTAGAAATTTCTATTTTGCTCAATCATTCAGTCGAATCTTATTTTGTGCATTTTTATATATTTTGATATTGCTTGTCGATGGCATTTACCGTTATTAGGACAATGGATGTTTGTCGAAAGCTAGCGTGACGTCATGATATATGTGGGAATGTCGGTACAGAATCTGAACCACATCTGAAAGCGAAACATTCAATGTTATATTGTTTTCAAATGTAGTTTTTTCATTATTTGCTCAGCCACTTGCAAGGTTTTGTCAACTTTTTTATTTTTGTCATAAAATCTACAACTGGATTAAATACTATGTTATTATTATCATTATGAATTGATTTTATGTGAGTGAAAAAACTGACTGAATCTGATTACATTTCGAAAATATATATATTTTTTGTTGGTTCACTAGTTTTATTGATTATTTCAGGTTGTGGTTGAATCTTCAACTTCTGCGTTGGAATATGGAGATCTGATCGTGGAGGAGGATTCACCCGTAAATCCGGACCTTCATTTTGATTCTCAATCTATGCACCTTTATGTGATGACGGAGAAAAAGGTAAAAATCATTATATAAACTATCAGTTAGCTTACGTTTGCGGCTCATATACAGTGTTCGGCACCGAAAACGAAATAGATCGAATATATTCAGACACATTTGTGAAAACGTTTTTTATACCAAGAAGGACATCTTTCTATCATAACCTCAACTGTCATACCTCATCCCCTGCCTCTTGATGACCTTGAGGGAAAGTACTAAGTGTGACACATCATTGAAAAGGAAATTGAATAAGCAATTCGTTCATGTGATATCCACTACGCAACTTTTCATTTTGGCTTCCTCCTGCGAAAAAGACAATGTTATCAAGTATATAACTCGACAAATGCTCTAAAATGTCAGACAACGTTTGGAGACTAACTTTTGTGTGGCAATTAATTGAGAACAGTTCCAGCATCTACTATGAGGTGATGTAGTTTGAAGTAATTAAAATTGTGTACGGTTTTTAATTTCTGGGTTCAAATAATACAGTGTTTTTTTTAGTTATATTTTATGCCACACTTAGTACTAACTTTCCCTGTTCAAATTTTAAGAGTGATGGTCACCAATGGACGGGGATGAGTTGTGACAGTTGAGGTTATGATAGAAAGATGTACCGCTAGAATCAAAACTTGAAAATATTCAATCTGTTCAGTTTTTCGTACTGCACACTGTATAAATATAGTTTGTTAGGTTAGTGTACAGAATGCAGCATATTTACTAATCAGGCACTGAGAAAAAATCGCCTATACAATTTTATTTCGACGAAATTATGTGCATTAATTCAAATCTACTTCTTCAGTCTTTTTCTATGAATAATATAATTTAAAATAAACAAAACCTAGACATATCAATTCGTTATCTTGTTCAAACATTGATAATATAGAATTTTATACAGTCTCTTACATTTTGTTGAACTCGTTAAGATAAAGAATGATGTTTGAAATATAATTGGTTCTTGAATTATTAATGTTGACCTATCGGTTTTGTTATGGATTATTCATGTACAACGGAAATGGTTTCCTCAAAGCAGTTTTCATTACTGTACTGTTTGTAATAAATTTGATGACGGTAATCCTATTGAAATGTTGAATACCTTATTTTAATATTCTGTTTCAATATAATTTGTCTTCTATATCGCTAAGCATTGAAAATTCATACAAATTGAATCTTTCTGGAATCTTTTTCCTATTGTAGTGTCTATTCATTATTTCTATCGCATGCAAAAAATTTCGGTTGTTTTCAGCAATCATTTTTGTTCTTTGAAACATTCCGTGTGAACAGAGTGAAATCTTTTCGATAATTGAAAATTGCTCACATGGAAAAAAAATTGAAAAAAATAGATTAGCAGATTCATTGTAAAAATCATAACTAGGAAACTACAAAAAAATCACATAACACACATGAGGATGATTCTGATAAGTTTTTGAGTTGAGATCTCTGAGAGAAAAAAATTAGCCACCCTGTAAACACACAGTTCAAAAATGAAGACTTATAATGAGGTTAAACATTGTATATATAGTTTTTAAAGAGTTTTTTCAATTTTGCTTTTAAAATAGTCTAGTTGTATGTATGTAAAAAACTAATTTGAAGGAAAAGTCAGTCTTGTACTTTTCTGTGTAAAACTGCATTATAAAAAGTCACAAAAATTTCACTTAGTTTCTGATAAAAGTTATTTTTTCCTCAGGTATCCAAAGTCAAAGTTCAGGAGTGTACAGTTTACCGGAATTGTTTAGAGTGTTTGGGAGTCAAAGATCCGTATTGTGGCTGGTGCTCATTGGAAAACAAGTGAGATAACACCTGAACTTTATTTTTATACAAATTAATTTGGTTTTGTTCAGATGTAGCCTTCGTTCGGACTGTCAAGACGCTGCCAAGGATCCCTTGTATTGGATCAGTTACAAAAGTGGAAGATGTACAACAATAACTTCTGTGATTCCCAATCAGCTGCAAAGAACAACTGCCCGAACGGTAAACTACTGGTAAACATTATTCGATAAATTTACTGACCTGATTCATTTCCAGTTGGACTTGGTCATAGACAACTTACCAACATTGCAAGGACATTTTCTTTGCGCTTTTACAGCCCTCGACAAAACTTTGATTACGAATGCCACGAGAAAAGGTTCTGGCGTAAATTGCACCACACCAAGAACTGATGCTCTACCGTCGATTCCTCCAGGACAACGTAATATAACTGAGAAATCTACCATTGGTGTACAATTTTCACTTGAATTATGTTTTCAGATCATTTCACTGCCAAGCTGTCAGTTCGAATGACTTCGGGACCAGATTTTGTGGCCACAAATTTCACGTTTTTCGATTGTAATACATACAGTTCCTGCACACAATGTGTATCGTCTTCATTTCCATGTGATTGGTGTGTGGATGGACACAGGTGTACACATGATACTGCTGAGAATTGCAGAAATGACATTCTTGTGACTGGTGTTAGTGTAAGTATATGAATCAGCTTTATTGTAAGCTCGTTCATTCCACAGTGGAATTCATACTCGATATGTTATTGTTTCAACGTACAGGTTTTACATCAGAATAAAAAATAAGCTTGCTGGAAATGTCTCCAAAAAAATGTTTTATGCTCTTTATCCATCAACTATCAAACAGTATCATGAAACTGGATTATCTTTTTTGTACTAGAAGTTAGTCAACTCTCCAATGGGTTTTGAAATTCTGAAACACAAATTGAAGCTTCTCAACTCCATGAAACCCTATCTCTTGTCCAACCAATATTTCAGTGTTTCCATTATTCTAAAAACACCGTGAGGTTGTCTTCAGAAAATGTTCAATCGAGAATATTATATGAAAACTGAAGATGTAATACACTGACAGTCATTAACAAGGCATTGGTGAGGTTCTAAAAATGCACTTTCCGCGTCACGAAATGATCATGATGTTTGATGAAGCCTATTGAATCCTAGGTGGAAGACTCTTCATGATACAAACATTAGAAAAGCTATTGAAACCCCTTTTAAATCATCTGGAATTTTTCTCATCTCATTTAAATCTTTTCGTGTATTAATAGGGTATGTACAGAAGGGTCTATTGAGATAGGAAACTATTATTGGTATTTATTGAAGACTGGATAATTTAAAATGTTAGGCTGATTGCACATTATCTTTGAAACAATAAAAACAAACATTGACATTTAAGAAACCTCTAGAAGTAAAACCTCCTCACAATAAACAATTGCTTATCAGACGGATTATTTACATATTGATGGAAAAAGTGCTTTTTATCTTCAACATAGACCCTTTGCATACATCCACGCCGCCATCTAGGATACAACCAAAAACTAAAACCACAAATATCAAAGATAAAGAAAGGTTCAACTGCCAGTCAGTTGCAAAAAGAGCCCTGAAAATGTGCAAGGATTACACTGCACTCTTGCTTCTTGAATATGGTCACTTATTAGGAGGTCTAACTTCCAGGAATGCAAAAAAGTTTCATTCTCACAGTACCTGAAGGATTACTTACACATTCAGCAAAAACATATTTTGAACATGGGACTTCTCAACAAATAAAACGGCTTAAAAATAACACTTTTTATTTTTAAGTCAGCAAATACTTCTAGATCTCGTTGATGAATTTATTTTCTTGAACAAATTGTTTAAATTTCTCTTAACTAAGTGCATTCCCCTGGTTAACCATTCATGAAAATTTTCGGTTGTGTGAGTGGACTGTAATTAGTGTGCTATGTTAATGATTTGTTGCACTAAGAACTTCTGATATTCTAAAGGTTGCCATTGAATAAACAGTTTCATAATTTCACCAAAAGTTTGTTTTCAAATGTTGTATCTTGCATTCCTTCATAGAACATGTATAGTTACATATAACGAAGAAAATGTAACAATAATGAAAATATACCACAAACTTTAATTCAATATACAGGGTGTTATACAATATACAGTTTATTATAGCAGCTTCACTACTTCAAAAGAAGTTTATATACCATAAATCACCTAAATCAAAGTTGCATTATGAAAGGGTTATGGCTACATAACTATGATTATTATTTCTGTACACAGACGACATCCTGTGGCTGCGTTTTGTTGATACTCCTCATATATGTTAGTATTATGTCTACTCGTTCATCGTTCTCATGAATGTGGGTCGATTTTTCGGACAAAATAATCTTAGAAAAGAGAGTGATATACACGTTGAAAAACTAATTTGAGTAGACTCATTCAGAAAACCGTAAAATAACACAAAAACTTTGCCATACCTAGATGAGCGATATCAGTAATAAACAAAAAAAACTCTAAGATTTTACACAGCAGTGGTCAGAAATATCAAAATATTTGTGTTCTAACAGATTCATTTGTTATGATTTTCACTCTATTTTGCAACTGTTATGTAGGACGTTTTTGGTATATAAATTTCTTTTGCCGAATTCTACAAGCAGTTAAAATAGCAACATTGACAGTACCCTGTATGTAATTTATTAGTTTGCTTTAGAAGTATATCCATTTCAATGTTATGTGTTTTTCTGGCTCCATATCTCAATAAATATTTATTCTACTGTCTCGTGGTGTATACTGATTGGTAGTGTTAATGAACGCACTGTTCAACGTTGGTTTGCAAAAATTTCGTTCTGGAGATTTTAGCCTTGAAGGTGACCTCGGAAGTTGTCCACCTACAGTAATCCAGGACAAGGATTTGAGGACCCTGGTTGGGACTGACCCATCACAAATGGTGCGTGGGATGGCGGAAGAACTGGGCATCAGCTCCCATGCGGTCGCAGTTCTGTCTCACTCACTATACTCCCCAGACCTCTCTCCAATCGACTACCATGTTTACAAGCACCACTTTTCTCACCTGTTAAATCAGGACCAAGCATTAACGGCAACGGTGTTACGTTGGCAAAAGTTTACTGAATCAATTGTCACTTATTTCAAATGAATTGAATAAATATTCACTGAGATATCACAATATAAAGTAGACTCATAAAAACTGACGAAACTTTTAAAACAAACTAATATATTCGAATATAGACTATATGAATCGAATTAAAAGTAGGGTTGTTTCAATTCCTCAATCAACTGTTTTTCTTTCTGTTCCAGAGGGCAGGTCCAAGCTACAGGTCTGGTCCAGCTTTTTGTCCCACTATAAACGCTACTGTAGGAAATTCACCAGAAATATTAGTAGCGTCGGGAATAAAGAAAGCTATCAAAGTGAAAGTTCATATAATTGGACAATTTATTGTTCAAACAAGATTCGTATGTCAATTCAATATAGAAGGTCGCGTAACTAGTGTAAATGCTCAATTATTAGGTGATACCATTTATTGTGATGCAATGGAGTTTTCATATACTTCTAGGGCTCCCAACATAACCGCAACTTTTGCTGTTATTTGGGGTGGTTCGAAACCGCTGGATAATCCAGACAATATACATAGTGAGTATTCCTTTTAAAAACAAATGCAGGCATTTTTTAATTTTTTGTTTTTTTAGTTGTGATTTATCGATGTAGAGATATGGCTGATAATTGTGGAATATGCTTAGCCTTAGCTGAAAAGTATGATTGTGGTTGGTGCCAAAGCTCAGATCGTTGTGAAGTAAAAGACCAATGTGAGAAAGGTTCTGCTGTTTGGTTGAATCGAAGCCAGACATGTCCCAATCCAGAAGTAACTTCTTTCAGTCCCGAATTGGGGCCTTGGGAAGGAGGTACTAACATAACTATACAAGGCATAAACTTGGGTAAAAATTTCCTAGATATTTATTCCGGAATCAGCATTGCTGGCATAAACTGTCAACCATATGAGCATCTTTACATAAAAACCAAACAGATTGTCTGCCAGGTATAGATATTTGTTGCCTTGATGTACAGTTTGAACTAATGTGAAACTTTTTTCAGGTTGATGGACCTGGTACAAAAGAACTTCGACAGGGGCCAGTTACAGTTAAAGTTGAGGACTATCGTGGTGAATCCAAAACTCATTATAGGTTCGTCAACCCAAACATTACAGGTATTTCTCCAAAATGTGGACCTAAGTCAGGGGGCACCATGTTACAAATCACTGGACAGTTCATGAATGCTGGAAGTAATATTCAAGCATTTTTAGATGACTTGCCATGCCGAATACTCTCGTAAGTGAATTTATTTTTAATGGATGAAATATAGCAAAAAATTCATTGGCAGAATAGCCAAGTAATGCAAAGACATCCATTGAATGTACAATAGATAAAAACTATTGTCCAAAAGGATGTTCAGTGGACATTTATCCTATGAATATCCATTGGAGACACTTTTGGACATCCAGTGGATGCCCATTCCAGATATACAGAGGATGTTCTGAAATGTCCAGATATTCATTGGATATCTTATCAGTTGAGATATGAATAACCATTTGACTTTGAAAAACGTTCCAAGAACAACTAGAACAAAATGTGGATTTTTTACTTGTAATAGAAATATTGTATACCAAAAGTTGTGAAAGAATGTCTTGACATCCACTTTTGTTATCAAGTTGTCCAACTAGTTTTGCTCCTTCTTTTCCATTACTAACACTATTTAATCACTTTATTTTTCAGAACGGACCAGAATCAAGCTTTGTGTATAACAAGTACTTCCAACACAACTTCAAAGAAGAAATTACGAATGAAATTTGATAAAGGCGATAGATATTTGGAAAACATGATGTTTGAATATGTAGAAGACCCAGTAATTGAATCAGCTGAATCTGGTGTAGCAAGTCAGATAAAAGTCCCTAAAGGTATTCCAGCAGGAGGTATCAAAATATCGGTTACAGGAAGAAATTTGGCATTTATTCAAAAACCTCAGATGTATGTCTTTTATGAACAAAAAATGTTCATAAGTGTAAGTTTTCAAGTTTGGTATTTACTTTTTGATTAATCAGCTTTTCCACATAGGAGTGTACAGTTCTGAGCAACACCAGTATGACATGCAGCAGTCCTGTTATTGACGCTGCAGAAGATGTCAAACTAGATGCAGATAATCCTTTGAAGTTGGAATATGGCTTTCGTATGGACAACGTCACTGGAGTACAAAATCTTACTCTCAATAAAGACTTCAATCCATTTCTGTTGTATCCAAATCCTGTGTTTATACCATTCGAAAAAGAAGTGAAGTACTATAAATCGGATTATCTAAATATTAATGTAAGTTGGGAATCAATTAGAGTAACTTTACTAAATAAATGAGTATAGAATATACTTGAAGCACAATGGCGTCATCAATTAGTACTTGAAAGGAAAAGTGCCAGTTTACCTTAAATTCGTTCATCGATGCTTCGTTCATTATTAAAATGAAATTCAATAATATCAATTTACATTGAAGTTGCTTATTGATTTGCATTCACTCCATAATTGATTTTGTTCACAATATTATATCATAGATAATGAATATTTACATTTTCATCAAATAGAAGAAAACTTCTAGGTAAAAAATACAGTTCTGAAATTTGTTATATGCACGATATTTTTTTCATTCTAGATTCTAGAAACTCATTGTTGTTCAAAAATAGACTTTAATATAAACACTAATTGTATAAAAACAATGCAGCAAAGCTTACTGATATTTTCCTAAGCTGAGTTCCAACTCAAATAATCCTTGATTACACTACATAACTGCAAAATACATTTGACCTAATGGCATTGCTCTAATCTCTCAATTTTCTATATGGTTACAGTGACCTGGAAATAATATTTCATTCTGTAAACATGTTTTGATCTCCATATAGTTTTAATCCGCAACTATATGTTTGTTATCAACTATTTTGAAGAAGACTTCATTTTGTATATACTAAATTCATAACGGAACAATTTGAAACTTATAGGTTTTTCATTCATTACTTGTTTCAATATATATGGTATGATCAATTGGAGTTTTAATTATTGAAAAATGTAGTTAGTTTCTGAATATTATAGTTTATTTTCAAAAGGCATGCAGTAATAAATCACTCATACGTAATAACTATTTTCCAAAGCTTGCTTGTGACAGAACATTTGCAGCAATTTCCTCGAGGGTAACAATAGACAGACCCATAAAAGTGTGTGAATAAAGAGTAAATCAACCTGCGTCAAGACAAAATTGTCCATTCTCTATAGAAAACGAATAGTAATGAAAATAATTTATGCAAAATATCCTGTTAGGGTTTTGCATACATATTGAACCTTCATTCTTGCACAGCTTTCAAAAAAAATCAACTATAAAATCAATGAGCTTTTATGATATTAAGATTTGAATAAACTTATTTTTCAGGGCCAAAACATTGACCGCGCTTGCCAAGAATCAGATGTGGAAGTTCTAATTGGAAAAAGTAATTGCAATGTGACTTCTTTGTCACGTCAACAGCTAACTTGTCGACCTCCTGAGACCCAGCCACAAGCTTTGAATGACGTGGGAACACCCAATGGGGAAGCTCTTCCTGAGGTTATAGTCATTGTAGGTGGTTCGTTACGTTACAATATAGGAGTCCTGTCTTATTCATCCCCTCAAGGACTGAATGGGCCTATAACAAAACCAACCCTCTATGGTATCATTTGTGTAGGTGTAGGAATTCTAATTGTGTTCATATTGTTTTTGATTGCCTATCGGAGGAAGTCTACTGAAAGCAATCGAGTCCTCAAGAATATGCAGGAACAAATGGATATTTTAGAACTACGGGTAGCTGCTGAATGTAAAGAAGCATTCGCAGAATTACAAACCGAAATGACTGACTTAACGGGTGACTTGACATCCGGAGGTATACCTTTCCTGGATTATAGAACATATGCAATGAAAATTTTGTTTCCTAACGTGGATGACCACATCGTTCTGCAATGGGAGAGACCAGAGCTGTTATGCAAAGAGAAAGGCCTACGTCTTTTCGGACAGCTGATAATGAACAAAACGTTTTTGCTACTTTTCATCAGAACATTAGAAAGTAATAGGTATTTTTCAATGAGAGATAGAGTGAATGTCGCCAGTTTGATAATGGTTACCCTTCAAAGTAAAATGGAGTATTGTACAGATATTCTCAAGACATTGTTAGCTGAACTGATTGAAAAATGCATGGAGGGAAAGAGTCACCCTAAGTTGCTACTGCGTAGGACGGAAAGTGTGGCTGAAAAAATGTTGAGCGCCTGGTTTACATTCCTTCTGTATAAATTTTTGAGAGAATGTGCTGGCGAACCATTATTTATGTTGTTTAGAGCGGTTAAGCAGCAGGTTGATAAAGGACCAGTAGATGCCATCACTTCTGAGGCTCGTTATTCTCTCAGCGAAGAAAAGCTCATTCGACAATCAATAGATTTTAAGCCAATGGTGAGTATATTTCAATGGTACATTGTTCATGAGCAATTAATAACAATTCTATTGAAATATTCAAATATCTGTTTGCTCAAAAGATAATTATACTTTTGAAGATGATAAATAATTGTGCTAATGAATCAAAAATGAAATTTAACTTATTTAAACAATGTAGATATATTCACTGTGTTTATTTGTTACCAGTTTTCAATTTTCAAGCTAGCAGTACCACTTGAGATGAATTTATTTTCAGTCCATAATTTTGAGTTAAGTTTATACTTTATTGCTATCCACTCAACAAATATATTGTGAGTTCTGCTAAGATGGTCAGATGTTAATGAATGAAAAAATTCAATTCTCGAACTAGTTCACTCGATTTCAATTGTATTAAAATATGTAATAATTAATTTCCTATCCTTTCCTAAAATAATCAAGAAATAGTGAGTGATGTCATTTTGTGAACAACTCCTACTAGTGAAAGTTTTGAAGAAGCAGCAAAACCGTTGAAATCACCTGTTATTGGTTAATACTGCTAAGTTTTCCCCGTGGGTTCGACAACAGTTGACCATACTGTACAATTAAATTCAACTGTATTTCACTACTACAATGCCAATACAACACATAAAACTTTAACTAAACTTCGGACTAATACTAAAATGTCTGTCGCCTTACCAGCTCACTTCAAACTTTACTTTCAACTAGCCTAGTCTCATCTGCCTCTTGGTAGTGCTTATATATCCCGATAGAAGTCTTTGGAAGCCGATAGAAATTATCTCGAAGTGACGCGACACCTAGAACGATAGATAATCACAAGTAAAGTTAAGTTCGACTTTGGCCAAGTCATATTTGATCGGTAAAGAACAGCGGCAGCCGGCTTTATTTTTTTCAGGGGATAATTCACAATAATACTAAAGAAATATTTTTGAGGATAGAGAAATCTCGAGTAGAGGGCTGACTTCTACTTTTTTATGATTCCTGTCTGTTTCTTAATATCCCTGTTGAGATTTTTCGTAAAATTAATAAAAAGTTGCTAAATTTGGAGCTAATTTGACTGATATTTTAAAATTTACTAACAATATTAATATAGTGACACATCAATGAAGTTGTGGATTATACTGGCTGATTCTTTTTACCATCCATACAGCTTGAAAAGTGGGATAGAGGAAGTGTTTTTGGTTTTTAATGTCTTCTAAATGATGTCAGAAAGAAATTTGAAAAAACTACCAAATTTCAGTATTATTTGAATATATTGAATCTTGAATGTTTTCTTATGATTTTTTTTTCATTTTGGCCCTATTTATCTTCGATACAGTGTATTTGTATGACTTCTATTGAATCATACAATGATGAAGTTTAATCACTGAAATACATTTCTATTAGTCATTTGTAACCAACTAATAATTCATATTCACAAAAATCTATTCATTGTCAAATTGATGTACAGGGTCTCACTTTCTGTGAATATATATTATGATAAAACTTATTTATAGGAGATGATAATTTTTGAAAAAATTAGACAAAAGAGAATGATAAAATGGTAAATTTATTTTGGGACATCCAGTTTGAAGTTTGCACTTTCTGTTTAATCTCCTGTTACATATAAATAATAATATCCAACATAAATATTTCCTACTGAAGTTCAACATTTCAGAATTGAACATGTATGAATAATTCGAAACCACTTCAGAGATGGGTGTTTTTGAATGTTTTGGTTCACATGGCAAATAATTTGAAATTTATTGAAAACCCCTCTCTACCGACATATTGCCAGGAACAAAACTTCATGAAATTATAATACATTTCTATTCTGATTTTCTTATCTAACTTCACAATTTCAATGAAAACTTTTTTCAGACCGTCTATGTCTCTATATCTCAACAAACAGTGTTTGTGGGGAGTATGGACCATAACACAGACAATGTTCCTGTCAAAGTTTTGGATTGTGATACAATTAGCCAGGTAAAAGAGAAATCTTTGGACACCATCTACAGGGCAACGCCATATTCACAAAGACCAAGAAAAGATGATTTGGATCTGGGTAATTATACATTTTCATGGAAAAAACTTTTATAATCAAATGTTTCCATTTACATGGAAACATTTTGTTCATCTTGAACTGAACGACGATTGACATAGACATATATGTAACCTATAAAATGTGACTGTATGGAATCATTTCCACAGTCAATAGGAGATTGGTATCCAAATTTTGTTAGGGGATTCATCTACTTTCTTTCGTATCATTTCTATATTATAATTTCATAAACTTTTGAAATTATACAGTTGTAATCGTGGAGACACTAGAAAAAGAAAAATGATTCCTGTGATTGTAATGTTATCGCCTGACTTTATTTTTCTTGTGAATAACAAACTTCAAGAGTTGAAGTTAGTGAAAATATTATATATTGAAGGTTAGTTTTCAATGTCAGAAGTGTGATATATCAAGCAAAACACAGTCCAAGAAATAATTTGTTGAAAGAAAATCAAGTGTTTTGTGTTATCTATAGTTGAATATGAATTTTATGTATTATCATATTCAATTATTTAGAAATATGTACTCTTTGGTAAATAAGTTGTTTTTTCCTAAAAAAATTGTTTTTTAATCTTCTAATATATCCGAGAATATAAAAGTTCACTGTGGCAATGTAATTTGCTTATTTTTTCGTGTACTCCAGTTTGTTTAGGTTTTGATACTGGAATTCAGTATATTTCCTAATAGTAAGTTCTAATAGTTCAATATCAGTTGTAAGAATTTATGTATGTCTGAATGTTGTTCTTTTTTGCACAATGACTTTGGATAGTTACATTCTGTTTTCATAGTGCTCATACCAATTGTTCATGTTGTAATATTGAGATATTCAGAAAATGTTTAAAACTTTGTGGTTTGAAGATTAAACATGTAGTATAACATTGTTTTTTTTTTTAGAGTGGCGCACTGGTACTTCAGGCAGACTGATACTCTATGACGAAGACACTACTACAAAAGTAGAAGGAGACTGGAAAAGACGTAACACCCTGCAACACTACAGAGTACCTGATGGTGGATGTCTGAACTTGGTGTCCAAACAAAGTTCCATTTATAATTTAAGTATTTTCTCGGAGAAGAATGATAAGTCCCACAAGTATGAAACACTCAACCTCAGTAAGTTTAGCTCGGTAAGTCCTCCATTGAGTCGGGCGACAAGTCCATTGAATCATGACCATGATCAGGGCCTGAAGGTTTGGCATCTCGTCAAGCATCACGATAACGATAATCAAAAGGAGGGAGAAAGAGGGAACAAGATGGTTTCGGAGATCTACTTGACCAGGCTGTTAGCCACCAAAGGTACCTTGCAGAAATTCGTGGATGATTTGTTTGAAACCATCTTCAGCACAGCCCACAGGGGTTCTGCCTTGCCGCTTGCCATAAAATACATGTTTGATTTCCTAGACGATCAAGCTTTGCAGCATGGAATCTCCGACCCCGAAGTTGTGCACACATGGAAAAGCAACTCTCTTCCTCTCAGATTTTGGGTGAATCTCATCAAGAACCCAAATTTTGTGTTTGATATCCATAAGTCAAACATTGTCGATTCCTGTTTATCTGTGGTTGCTCAAACTTTTATGGATTCATGTTCAACTTCTGATCATAGACTTGGTGAGTTAACTTATGTCTGATTTGAAAGAATATGTCTAAATGACTGTTTTGAAATTTTTCAGGAAAAGATTCACCTAGCTCCAAACTCTTGTATGCTAAAGATATTCCATGTTATAAGGAATGGGTGGAGAGATATTATTCTGATATAAAGATTATGCCTGCCATATCAGACCAGGATATGAATGCCATGTTGGCAGAGGACTCCAGAGTAAGTGATTTCATTCAATACGTTTCGTTACACAGTAGCTTCCTCAGTTCGACTGAGAAATTATCATAAAAAATGTGGTCTGTGTTTGCTTTCTTTGTTTGAGATGATCCAATTATATTAAATCCCCCGTACACTCACTTCTTCATGTTTTATTGCAAAAATGGTGTGATCTATTCTGTAAAGAACATATAATCCATTTACATGGATTATATGTTTACATGGATTATATGTTATATGTTAATTCGCCTTTAACATTTTTTATTTATGTAATTTACTGACTTGCCTCATCCATGTAAAAATGAACAGAAGTATATGAGGAATTTTTTACATGCTTGGTTGATTTATGGGTCTCTGTAGAAGAATTTTCCATACCAAAACTTCACAACCCTCGTTTTTTTCACTCTGAGATCGCAATATGTGATATATCGATATACTTATGGATTTTATTAATCAAAACCATCATGCTCATATTACGGAAAAGTGAATATAGGCTTAGAGTCCAGTGAAACGATAATTAAATTTCCAACATAGAAATGTGGTTGAGATAGATAAAAATTTTCACACTCTGAAAAAAATAGAACAAACATCTCAATATTTTTGAATTACACTGGTCTATTTTTCATATAATTTCATGAATATTAACTCAAATATGGAAAATTATTCTGATCAAGTTACTTTTTGAATTGATGAATTATTCATTAATTCTAAATTTGCTGAGGAAATCATATTTTCTTCAAGGCATGAAACACATTATCAAATGAAGATGAAACACATAACTGATATGTCACTTCACTCAGTTTTTTTATTTAATAAACTACTAACATTTTCTATTGGTGTTCAATTTTGAAGAAATATCTCAAAATAAAATCAAATATTCTATTTTTAAATAATGTATACTGCTAATTTGTATATTAGAAACATTTCTACTTAGTAAACATCCATTTTCATACAGTTACAATTTTAATTTAGGAGTAGTAAAATAGAATGTCATTAAGTTGAATTACTGCAAATGAGTCATTGAAACTGTATTCCTTGACACAATTTTAACTATAATTCTTTTTAGTTCTTCATTGTTCTCAATGTCATATGTAAACTTAATATCTGGAGATATTTTGCTGAGAATACATATAGGATTCAAGTCTACGTTATAGAATTGGCTGATACTTGATGAAAATCCATAGCTCATTCAAGTAACACTATATTGTGAGATTTCCACTAGACATGTTTTGAGTCATTAAAGCACATCGTAGAATTAGTTTGAAGTACCAAAGGGGCAAAAAACAAGTAGGGGCTTTCTTAACATTTGTGATGGAATTGGCTGATACTAGTGGATATCTCCCAATAAAGTGTTACTTGAATGAGGATGCAAGTTTGTGGAAAACGATCAACTCCTCTCCTGCTTCCATTTCGAATATACTCACTCATGAGGATAAGCCATGAAGAAAGACTAAGAGTTGTCCATTGCCTTTCCTTCGTACTGCCTGAAACAGTTGTTGAACTGGATTCACTCCTGTTCCATGCAAATTTGTATGAGCTGGCTGAACACTTCGTCTGCCTAACCAAATAACTCTCATTGATTTTTATTCCTCAAATATTACTTTTTTTAAGAAAAAAAGGAAGATACATCATATAATACTAAATTTTTGTTTTGTAACCTTGTATGTTTTATTTTCTCAATGAGTTCTTGTCATTGACTCTTAAAATTGGTTGTAAAATTGATCGGGCTTACAACTGTATTGGTAGCTATCTTATATAAATGGGAACCTACAATTGAGACAGTTGGTTGCACTAACTTGCTTGACTTTAGAATTTTTGGCAAGTCTTACATTTGAGTTATGTTGTCCAAAATTGTAGTGATCAGATCACACTTCTTCAGTGTATTTATTTATTCTTCACTCCTGAAACCCTCTTATGATTACAGACATTGGGTTACTTGGCTGTTTTCAATTGAGTTATCCTTTGTATCATAGTTCTGTGTAGATTCCCGTGATGGAACAAATCGCCAAATGACGTAATAAAATAATTTGAAACTATTACTTTTGCAACCCAGTTGCAGTTTGACATGTATAACTGTTTGAACGTAGACGCACATGCAACTCAGGGTATATTTTTTAAACTTCCTCTGATGATTCGATCATACTATATATCGATAGTAGTCTAAGTGGTAAATGAAATATTTTTCAGCTGCACACAACTGAGTTCAACACGAATTGTGCCCTTCACGAACTCTACACTTATGCAATGAAATACAACGAGCAACTGACAGTTACATTGGAAGAAGACGAGTTTTCTCAGAAGCAACGATTGGCCTACAAACTGGAGCAGGTCCACAATATAATGGCGGAGCAAGGGCAACCGTGATACTGGCCTGACCTGACGTGCCCTACAGCGCCACCGCTGTCTCCCGTTATCCCATCGGCACCTCAGGAATTGGCCTGCTGATAAACGTTTCATGCCAAATATACATATCCATCAGACTATTTCTCTGTGTGTTACGAATTGCTGTTGTGCAATTACCTAATTGTTCAGTGTATTGTGGAGAGGTGCTCACTCAGTGACTTCAAAGTGCCTCTGGTAGATTGAGTGAAGTGCTGTCTCCTCAAATGAGTGTACTATATTTTTATGATAACACATTTAGATTTATGCTTTGCCGTGCTGAGTTTCAGCGTTAGTCCATATTGTCGATATTCACAGAAATATCCACTCTAACAATGCTTTTTTGATATTTGTAATATGATCGTACCTTTATACAGTTTAATATTTTTGTATTTAGTTGAATGCAATCATGATGATTGTCTTCCGCAATGAAGGAAGCACCAGGGTGTAGTATTTAATTGCGACCTTTCAATCAATGGATGTTTCAATCTCTACATTACATACTATGCACAAGGTCGTATCGATGTGGTTTGTGTACGTGTAATAAGGCTGTGTACATTTCTCTTGTTTGTAACCAAACCAGCAATTTATGTTGTCGCACCAAAAGTTTTTGGACAGTGTTTCTGACATCTAATTCGCATTTGTTCCCCTTTGCCCTCCGTTTCTTTTATTGTATACCATCGAATCATTTTTTTGTTATGTGCAATTTACAAGTCATACATTAGCTTTACTCATTTATTCTTTATGTGCTGAATGTTCCACTGCTTTATATGTTCTTATTCTAAAATGAGACATTTTGAAAATAATGTATTTAATGATCTGAATAGTCATTATCATAACAAATTTTTCAGATATTGTAAGTTTAAGTTCTTAACGACTGTTTCTCCAACAATGACCGATGCTCTGTAAGCTCTCCTTCATATCATCTTCTTTATTTCACATGTACTTCTATCTTGTATTATATCTATTACATGATATTGAAACCAAATGATATTTCTTAACTCAAATAATCCATGATCTCGCCTATTTTGTATTTGATTTTTGTCTATTATATTTTGCCAAATTTCTATTCAAATTATTGACACTTATTCAAAATCTAATACATTCCTTTCTAGTGAGAATAAAAATATTAGGCTTGTTTTTGAGTGAAACATTCAGTAATATTAACGATTATTCAATATTTTTATTGGAATTGTTCAACGATATATTGATATTGAAGTAATTTTTATTACAAGAGTGGATTAAATGTTTAAATGTTTTTAAAAATACTTTGTCGCTCTGTCAAGTTCCAACGCAAATTTTTCGATCACTTTCCTATGTCATTTAGCACGAAATAATTTTTGACATTTTTTATTTCAATTCATTACTTATTTTACTCATGTGAACACCAGTACGATCCATTCATACCCTGTATTGTGGATAAAGTGTGAATCATTATCTCAAAAAATTGCTTTTTCTTCGCTGATAAGGTATATTAAATGTGTAATGTGATTTCTTGAGATAATGGTAAATATATATGTAATGGGAACAATAAATTTATTATATTTTATATGAAGAAGGGAAACACTTTTCAGGTTACTACACGTCGATATTTTTATTAATTAGTGGAATCATCCAAACCACTTACACATTTAATTTTCGTTCTGAAAGATAAATTACTTTTATTGAATTAATACAATTTATAGAGTCAGTAACGATAGTCTGTATTTTTTTCGTCAGTCTCATTATATGGAAATCTGAAGTTCTCCTTCTTCTTAACAAAAATTAGCATTATTTTTTTTTAATACGAATTGTCACCGTCCTGAAAATTGGAACAATGTATTCTCAAATTAGCTTTCTGACATCTGCGCATAACAAGTCCAGTTAAGACAATTTATCTTTTAAAGATTCTCAAAAATATTCTTTTTATTTGTAATTATTTAAGTTGTGTATATAAAATTTTATGCCAAAAAATTTGCTTCTGGACAATTGCATAGGAAGAATTGTAAATAATACATGTGTGTGCGTATGTGTGTACAGATGAATGCATTAATGTTTGTATGTGTGTATGCATGATACATATTTATAGTAATGTGTGTACATTCGATTGCATCTGCAATACTATGAATGGTAATGTACTACTATATGTTATTATAAAAGACTGAATGGAGTTACTAAAATACTTAATAGAAAAAACTCATCTCGAATGTTGTGTTATTTATTGACCCGAATTCCAAATCTGAGAAGATCAAAAAAATTTAAAAATGGCTATAGATAACGCTATTGTTCAAGTCTTGGACTGAGGTCTTTTATATCGCCATCTAACGGTAATTTAGTCAAACACGATATTTACTAGATGGCAATTGTTTGTATCGCCATCTACCGACAATTTAGTTAAGTAAAATGTCGACGCAGGCAGAGATACAGTCGAGCACATTGGCGACAGATGGCTTATATTTGTAAAGCTCTCTTTAAATAATTCAGTCATTTTCTAAGGCAATTACGATGTTCGTCATAATGCTACTAGATGGCGCAACTTTTGTAGCTGCAGTTTGGAGTGGTCAATTTTCAGAATAAAAAAATTTGGTCTAACATTTCTAATGGAAACTAATGAATACATACATATCAAAGGGATACTATTTAATCTTTTAGGTCTATGGTATTAAATAACTGGAAGTTTCACATAGGTACCGAAACACGTTTCACTATACTTTTTCATCAGGTATGTGTAAGTATAATCGATCACTTTATCATTTTAAATAGCTACTCACTCCAAGAAGTAATAATTTTAATACGGCCCTGTAACCGATTTTCTATAAATGTAGACAAAGTATCTTTTTTATCTTCAATGATTTTTCTACAGACGTTATGAAAATTATTTGCATTGTATTATAGTGGAACTCAACAGATGGTGCCACTTTTAGGTCACAGTCGAATGCTCAGTATGTATGAATAAAGCAGTTACACTTAGATGGGAAGGTGGGAGGGGACAATCAACGAACTAACCAAGCTCCCACATTGAAGAAGTGCGTTTCTGCAATTATCTGTTGATTGATTAGAGAAGTACTTGTTAACAAAAATTGTAGTAACACCCCTTCTTTCTAACACTCCAGTGTATTAGAAAAAAAGGTGCTGTCTTGTTTTATATTTTCAGGTTGAGGATTAAGTTGTTTTATGGAAGAGGTGCCATCTATGGTAATATTTCAAAACTAATCAAAGACAAAATTTATGATTTTGATACTTTTAACTGAAATAATTTTGAAAATTAGGATACTAGTGGAACTCAATAAATGACAAGATTCAATATTAAGGAAATATTTTCCGTCGATAAAAAAAATATAGGATACTTCTTAATTTATATTTCCAGGCTAAGAATTTAGTTTTCACATAGAAGTGGCGCCATCTTTTGAACTACTTGAAAATTAAAACAGATCAAAAATGAAATAAATTTCGTCAACATATTTACCGTTCCATGATAGGTAATAATCAAACATTTTTTATTTCTACACTCGTTTTTTCTAGGAAGCTACGGTGTTAGCGAAACGAATCTAGAAATAAAAACGTTTGTTGAAATTGTTTATTCATTATCATGGAAAGTGTTATTTATTTTCATTAAGTAACGGTTCAGTCCACTCATATTTACCGTTCTTTTAAAAAAGATTCCCCTTCGAACAACGCAGCGCCATCTATCTCGTATCTATTTCAACAGGAATTTGACAATCCTGTCAATAGATGGCGTGTTTTGAGTTTCGCCACCTATTTATGAATTATTAAGCATTATATTCACCGTTTCGTCACTAGAGGTCGCATCTATACACACTCTCGCTTTGATCAAAGAATACGAAGCCATTGTCTAAAGATAACATTGTCTGTTAATACATTAAATACTGACATCGTACTGCCATCGCCCTCTAGTGGTCAGGGTAAGCAATAAACATTTTACGTGACACGAAGATGCTTTGTATTCTTTGCTTTGATGCTGCAGTTTGAATGGCGTTATTTATCAGTTTACCTTACTGAACCATAAGGATATTTTCCATCACCACAACTCTTATTACTCCATTTCAATATGGAAGATGGGAGTCAATATGTTTCCAAACAAAAGAAATAAGAATACAGCGTTTATTGATAATAACAAACAGTACAGATTATGCTTACTTGGTAACAATTTTTAAAATACATATATGTCTGATGATCTGTGTTCATTATTTACAAGATATCAAAATTTCTATCACTTGTAACTTTTTTAGTTCAGTTGACCATACAGTTGGTATGGCACTGATTAATAAATACATGCCAATTTTTTATAGGTAGAAAAGTTTAAAATTAAATACATTTTCATAGCAAAATAACAAAAAATTTTTTATATTGTTATGCCACAAGCCTCAGTTTTACAACAGATTTCATATGATTCCTATAGAAAAACATATTTTTGCAAAACTTTCAATACTTTTATAATGAGATACAAAATTAACAACAACCAATACATTCAATAAATTTGATATTCTTTGATATTTCTAAACTGCATTAATTTCACATGTTAATAAAAATACATTCTCCAAACAAGAGACAAAGCATATTTTGCTTGACAACTACATGAGCCATTACTTTAGATCACCCGATAATTTCAATTTGGTTGCAATAAATACACGGAATTATTAAAATTGAGTAAAAAAATTCCGTTAATTTGTCGAGTTCATAGGATTACAAATTGAATCTTGCAGAACTGTATGTTAGGTGGATATACATTTTTGTTGTTTTATTAGAAGGGAAGTCATTTTACTCTGACATCTCTATCATATAGGTTTCACTGAGAACATATTTTTAATTCCATTGACACTCTCAGTTTTCCTCTTTGAAAACCTATGCTGCCATCATTTCATTACAACTAATGTTTGGTGAACTGAAATTATAAGCTTACAAGTGACTTCTCCAAATAAATAAATAAATATAAGTTTATGCATTTTTGGCTTGTTTCCTATGAATAAAAATTATACATTATTAACGCTAATAATTTGATTAATCCAACCAATAAACGAAGAAACCTTAACATAAACACCTGGTACATCTAATCTACCACAACCAAATCCCCATGAAACAAGCCCTGCCAACTCATAAAAGCCATCATCTTGACAAACTAATGGGCCACCTCCATCTCCTTGGCAAGCATCATTTCCTTCTTCTCCACCAGCACAGAAACTGCTTGCAGGAAGAATGAATATTTTTTCAGTAACAGCATTCACTTTTCGAATACATTCTGCATCGCTAACAATCGGAATTTCAGCCTCTCGAACTCTCAATGGGATTGGTCCCGCTGAAAAGATATTAGTGCGATATCAAAACAAACATCATCTTTTATAGTGCTAGGAATAGCACTCTGAAGGAAATATCTTGTTAATGCTTAGCACGCACATAAAGAAACAGTTTTCAGTTGTCAAAAATAAGCACATTCTGACACATCATATTATATTACATTATTTATGTTATGTAAAGGAAACCTGGATGACGATTGAGGAAGAATACAATAATCTACACTGATTCAATGATGTATTTGCAAGCCAAAAAAAACTAGAGGTGAGTTGCTATCTTCATAAAAGACATAATAATACCATTAAAATAGTTGATGAGGAGAATTGGTTATATTTTGTTATACAGGAATAACTGCAAAAAGTATATCTACAGCAGTGGTCGCCAACCTGTCGATCGCGAGCTACCGGTAGCTCGCGGAGGCATTTCTGGTAGCTCTCACAACGATTTTAATTTACAAAATACAAACTGCAAAAATCAGAGAAGCTTCCGAAAATTCCACAAAAAAATCTAATTGTCATAATATTAAACATAAACAGCGGCAATGTTGCGGTGAGCGATCTGCCGCTGACGC